TGCTAAAGAAATGGAAATAGGGTTCAAGATGTGAAAAAAAATAATATATATTTTGGAGCAAAACCGAGTTAAATGTATGGGTTGTATGGAAGTAAAGATACAATAGTGCATGCATACAGTTCACAGTGTTCACATCTCTGAGACATGTCTTGATTATAACATCCTATTATCAAAGTTAAATGACTTTACTGAAAAGAGCATATGATTTGCACAATCCTGTTTCAATGATGCCAATGATGTGTTTACCTGTGAACACCATCATTCGAATATGTAAAAACGAAATTGCAGATGTAAATTAAGAGAAATTAAATTATGAGCGCTGGTTCACAGATATATTACGGGGAAGCATTTTAAATCTAATACTTAAGGGGGGGTGTACCAGTTTAAGTTTATCAATGAAAGGGGCAATAGGGTGTTGTTTCCACAATCTCACAAGGATCCATTGGTGGAAAGTTTGTTATGACTCTAGGCAGAAATATCCTTCTCATATAATTCTGCAGTGTAAACTACAATAGACTGTTTTTACTGCAGACAATTTAGGAATAGCACAGGTGTATTGAATTACATTAACGACGGCTGCATACAATTTAATTATGCCAGTTGCAGGGCTGTGCTACTGTCCTACTCGTTAGCGTTATTAGCTACACCTGTGCGTCTCCTGCTTAACGAGTCAAGATGTTTTACAGGAAAAATGTCTATCAATGCCACTGACTCACATTTTATTTAGAGTTACTGTTAAATCTTTGGTGACCACTGTTTTTTTTCTGACATAGGAAAGTGGCCCTCAGTTGATAAGTGGAAGATTTTTAAGCTGGCAATGAAGTGAGTGAGATGTGTGTCAGTATGAGCCGCCCTGGGAGCCGAGAACATGACAGGAAGATGAGTGAAAAGTACCATGCAACACAACGCAACATCCCCTCCAAGGACAAAAGACATGATGGTGGCTCATCATGTGTAATGTATTTTTACCCTGCACTCAAACACCAAACTCAACTATTCAGGATCCATATACAATGTCCAGCACTAGATACCTCAGAAACATCTAATCACATGACTGAGGAATGACTGAAGAGTGTAGTAGGCTAATGGACCGAATGGTGACGCTGTGAAACACCTTGTTTCAAACTGTTTCTTGGATGCCATCAGTCTCACTGCAGCAACAGGTAGCTGACCATACAGTCAATGGACTCCAACCTCTCTGTGTGCTTTAACATACGAAGTGAGAGAATCCAAAGGGAAAGGACAGGGTGGGAGCAAAAGACAAGGGGATCATACTGCCCAAAATTGTTTTGCAGAGTAGATATTAAACACTGTTGTTGAGGTTACTATTTATCTCATGCCGGCCAAGTTGGCACGCACATCTGGCGCTGGGTACTTAGTGCAATTATTTATGATTTCCTCCAAGATTTAAAAGCTCTTCGCCCGGCCTTGTAATGCAGTAACTGATTGCACTGCTAATGTAATTAAGGGGAGATTATGATGTCCACGTGGCACACCAGATGGTGGCATTCACAGCGATGGGGGAAGGCACAACTGGCACACCACTGCACAAGGGCAGTGAGGCGCAGTCAGTCGGAGCAGTCCAGACTCCCCACCAGACGGAGGAAAGTATATGTGTGTATGTATGTATATGTGTGTGGTGTGCATGCACAGATGAATGGAGTGTATGGATGTTTGTGTAATGATAAGTTGAGCAATAAAGTGTAAGCAGAGATGAGTGCATGTAAAATACTACCAAGGAAATGACTGTAGCTACAGTATAGTGACTGTCTCTATATGCATGACATGGGCACTCAAAATGCACCAGGTCAAAGCATAGGTCAAAGCAAGACCTAGTGTTTGGTCTTGGAAGGCTATAGGGATGATAAGACATCTCCTCTTTTTTTAACTACAAAAGTGAAGGATTACAAACTGAATCCGACAGTTCCCACATTTTCAACTTGTGCAATTTAGTGCTTTAGCCAAGAAAACAGATGGCATAAATGGAAAATTAAATCACATTTGGCAAAGCCATTATGTTTCAGGAGAATTTTTCAGCCAAGGCAACAATGAGACTGGACAAAACTGACCATTAATTAGAAAAAAAGCATGATATTATGGAGTCTTGCAAGGGCGTATCCTATGGGGGCACTAAGGGTATAGCTTCTTAAAGCTTGTTATTATAAGCTATTCAGGAGACACAGGGATTTCTTTATGTGTAGACAGAAAATGGAGGAGGGGGACGAGGGTCATATATGAAATGAGACCTGCAGATTTCTACACAGCCCATAATGGGTTCATACGGGTGATGGGGACATTGGGGCGCAGTAGATTTCCCAAGTTGAGATAGGGATATTATTACTCTCGGGGTGGCAACACAGAAATCTCCATCTTCGGTCCCCAGACTAGTGTCAGCAAATTGCAGAACACAGTGAATGACCTTTACGCACCAAAAGAAAACCTTTGCTGTTTTTTTTATCATTTGGGTGCAAAGTCGTCACTAAGGTATCATTTTGGTCCAGGGGCTCTTCTGTCATCCACTGATTACCACTCACAACTACAACATTGTTACCAGAATAGGTGTGCGATATTTTGTATGTGATCTGATGATCCAGTGTTTATGGGGTCGACTTTAACTAAGATGTGTCATAAAGCATACATGAAACAATGCGTGAACAAAGAAATCTCAGTTTTAATGAACCTTTTCCAAATGCCAGCTGTAATGCTATGCATCCTACACTGTCTGCTCCCCCACAGAAATCTGCCACAGCCATCATTCATCTTTCCCCACAATCCTCAGCGTGCGATGTGCCGCACATTAAAACACTGTAATAGCTGATGGCTTTCACAGTTAGCATGTGTTGCTGATATCTCCAGACTCTCGACGAGTGTTTCATCACCTATTCCATAATTAGACCATTACTTTAGCAGATGTGCACCTTCTCAGCCGGAGAATGTGTGTGTGGTTTTTTTTCTTTTTACATTCTTCATCATTTTTTTTCACTGACACCTGAGATTTTATCTTATGAACTTCAGCATTGCCTCAAATTCTACATAAACTGAGCATGCCTGTTTTAGTAGGTTGTCAACACCTTGAGGTAGAAGCATGTGTTTGTAGAAGCGTGTGTTTGAGGTGGGTGTTAGTGATGAGGGGGTGTTACAGTATCCAACAAACTCTACTATCGTGGAAAAATGGTTAATTTCACACGTTATTGCTACAATAATTTGTATATGATATGGATACACATTAGGCTAAACATCCATCATATGCTGCTGTTTTACAATCTGAATATCACTGTTTAGTGGCAGGTTTTGTTTCTTTATAGGTGTTCCGTTAATCATATTCAATAATCCTTGGTTTCAATTATTATCTCCACTTTCTAATTGATGGACAGTGCTTTACAAGGCTAAAGAAACTTGTAAAGCTGTAAGACATCTAAAATCTGAATATAACATAAGAAGGCTGTTAAAACAAGCAGTGCCATGTTCGTCTGCTCAGACTCTACAAATTAAAATTAGAAACAAACACTTGTCTAATAACAGCCAGATTTTGCCCTTTTTAATTAACATCAACGGTAAGTGTGGAGGTGGTGAAAGTTGCCGGTCATAGAAGGTGGCGTTTACATTTGAACATCTCCTCCCTTATTAGAGAAGTGCTACAAAAATGTAAAAAAGGGAAAACTGATCACATCATGTGCAGCCATGTTAGCCCATAAATACATTTCACAGTGTGTGGCCCCAATGAAGACGCCTGCTGGCATATGGCACCATGTCACAAAAGAGAGCAACAAGTCTTTGATTAGAATAAATTAGGATAATACTTGCACAATGAAATAATTTATTTGATTGGTTTGATAGAGGTAGAAATAATAACTCGCCGATGGGAAAGCATCTGTCGCCCAATGGTGTTTTGGACGGTGTACAAAGAGGCTTTCAAGTTTTTTGCTCGGGGAGATGGACATCCTAATGTTACAGCTAAGCTAATACATTGCTCTTTATCTTACTTTTATCTGATTACAGTAATGACATGTGATGATTAGAGAGACAACCAACTGTCAGAGGCGTGACCCGTAGATACATCCATGTAATGATAGTCATTCAGTGAAGCACAACCTTAATTTAGTTACCATAGCCAAATTGGATCTCAAAAGTTATTGCAAAGAAATACACCCACGAGTCAATATGGCATTGTGGGCCCAGGCCTTTTTTTCTGGGTGTGTGCATAATTCACACTGACAAAGTAAATTGTCACATTAAGCATTCATATAGCTTTCCGATGGTGCTTTCAAGATGTACTCTTCTGTTGTATTAGACGTCAAGTATCTGGTGCTGCTGTGCTGCGCTCATTGAGCAGAATGTTGTGATTTTTTATCAGCAACATATTCAAGCTATGAGCATAAATATTACAATTATATTCAAAAAGCGACTACAGTGATGATACCAAAAAGCATGGCATTTTGCAACAATACAGACACATAAAAGTAAAAATGTACTAATAAATTAGTAGTTTAAAACATACTAAGTACTGAGTTCAAATGTTAAAAGTTAGTATTATAAACTGAATGTACTCAAGAATCAAAAGTGCAGTTAAAGTACTAATTCGGCAGAATGGCTCTTATAAATGTGTTTTATTATTATATGATATTAATTTCTTCTTTTTTTAATCATCAGAAAATAAATGTACCTTTTAATGGAGCAAATATTAGATAGTACTGAGAACATGTGTAGTACATAGACTATCCAACAGGTAGCCTACCATTTGTCAAATAAAAGAAGTGGAGTAAAATGACAATATTTCCCTCTGAAATGTGTGGAGTGGAAGTACAACCTAGCAGAAATAATGGAAATACTCAAGTAAAGTAGAAGAAACCCAGAACTATACTTAATTGCAGCAATTGAGCAACTTGTATTAATTACATGCAACCACTGGTAAGGGTCCACTGTAATAAGTCAACCAAGCTTACATGGATTTTTCTTTCTTTGGCCACAGAAGATGATTTAACCTATGGTTAATCATTTATTATCAGTTGTAGGCCTACCCGGATGTGTTTACTTCCTGTACATTAGCGCGGGGTGAAGAGGTCCAAAGTTGAAAAGTTAACGGCAGGACACGTTTCAATCAGGTAAACAAATGCCAAATGATTCGTATTGTGGGTTTTGGATTATCTTTTCAACAGCTCAGACAGTTTCTAGAGGTCTTACGTTGATTATTTATTTACTCAAACAAACATTTGTATGAGCGATAATACACAGTTGCACAGTTACCCATGTGGACCTCCGTGAAACATGTATAACAGCCATACAGTAATGTCATTTGAGAGATGAGAGACGTGCTGCTTATTATTGAATTAGCATTAGCTAAGGATAACAGAGTAACAATGTGGACAAACATTCAGTTTAATATCTGTACATTTGCAGACCACTCCTGTTTGACAGCACATTATTATATGCATATTTGTATTAATAGTTAAAGATGTAATAATCACAGTACATTTTGAGTTATGCTCATAGCATGTGTATATTAACCAAAGTAGATGTTAGCTAGCTACCTAGTAAACAGATATGGTGCCTAAGTGTAGCTCACATACTCATAAATGACATGATCACTGCTTAACTTTCACCAACTTGCATTTATTCCATCTTCTCAACACGGTGGCAAGGTTAAGGTGTAGGTTGTTAAACATATATGTTGTTCTATACAGGCTTAGATGCCTGTACTATCATACATGTTTAGATAAAGTGACATGTATGCTGTAGTCCTCCTTTACCCAGAGTGAAGTATAACAGACATACCATCAATTGTTGTACTGTAAACCATGTAGGAAACACAGTTTTACTTGGGAGCTGGAAATAAGTTTGGATGGATTTGTATTTGGTCTGCCTGGATGAGCCTTGATGTTGTGCTGGAAAACAAAGCTCATTTTGAACAAATTAATGTTACAAAGAGATCCTTCTTTCTATTAGCTAATTTGCTATCCTGTTTCATTTGAATAAGTACAGCTATCTAGCATTTGTTAAAGAGACAGCTGTTTCTGGAGTAAATCCCCTAATTTGATCAGCTTAATTGCAATAGATTTCGTAAACATCAAGATTGAATGCAGCAACTTTGTCAGTTAGTACAAGAATGCTTTAAACCTAATCTAATAAAATTGCATAAGGGAACCATTGCAAAGCCACTTACCCTGTAAAAGGCTTGCATACCCATTAGGGAAAAATTCCCTTGGACAGGAATAGATAGCAATTGATTGGGACTTCCTTGAAAATATGTGATCGCTCCCCCTAATTTGTGATTTGGTGAAGCCATTGGGTGGTCTCCAAATGCAGCTTTTGTCATTGGTCTCACTTGTCATTTGATCCCGGATTAAGGGGCCACTTTTTCTTCTAGATCCTAAAAAGCCTCATCAGGAAGTCAATAATGTGGTCATTTTAGCCAAGAAAAACCTTGTCTGTTCTCTTTTTAATGACCCTGAAGGGTGCATCCTAATTGTGTTTCACTATCTGCATTTTGCGTATATTTATTTAAAACCTTTTTACATTGAAAAAATACTCGCTGTACTGTATGTCACAAAGTGCAGTTTTTTATGTTTTATTCTATCAAATTTATTTTGAATATTTATGAAATTAATGATGTTTCTATATTTTTTCCAAAAGGAAAAAACTACGGATCATTCTAATGTGTTTTTTCTGGTTACGGTAAATGCAAAACATGTGACAAGGCTCTTGTGTTTGCTTAACACAGCTTTGACATGTCTGAAGTGAGCAACCAGCTGCCCAAAGACCCCATATCTGCAGTTGGAGTAATCACTTCCCTCAGTAAGGCCCCTGAAGGCTACTATGTTGTGAGTATTCAGTTTTATTTGTGTGGAAGTGTGTAGTTTGATTTAATATGCTTGGATTAGGCCAATACAATTGTTTGCATCTCCTTTTCTGTAAAAGGTCAAATAAATTATCTGAGCTGTATATATCATATTTATCGCCTTTTTTGCCACCATTTTTGCATCAACATCAAAAGTCTAATCTGAATTATAATCCCTATATTTCTTAAATGTTTTTGTTTAGATTTTTGGATCTCTGCTGTTTGTTGTACATGTCATTGTTGTAGCTTATTGTATTGTAACTAAGCATATCTCAGATCCAGGATGTTGGCAGCCTTCCAAGGTGTTTTTTTGTTAGAGCTGTTAGATGACTTATTCATAAAGTTTACTTTGATGATTAGGAAGATTCCCTTCCTGACATTGTTGCTGGTTGCCACCAGAATTACAGACACACCAGAGGCAAATATTCAATCATGGTTGGTTAATGCCAAGAAGAGTCATCTAAGTTTACCCCTATTTTTCCATTTTAACCAAGTGCAATGTATAAGGATGTATTGCAGGATCAGCTGCTTTATTCAAACCTTTCTTGTTGTGAATAATTGAGTATGGGGTTAAAATGAGAAGTTAAACAAAGCACAAAACAACCTCAAGGGCAGATCCTTCTTTCTCTCTCTTGCTTCCTGTTCAGACTTCTTCTTCTAGCTTTCACTCCTCGCCCCAAACCCCCCCTCTTCCCCCAGTTTTTCTCTCTTCCTGCTCCACCCTACACACCCAGCTTGTTCTAATCTCTGGCAGATGATGGTGGGTTGGCATCAGAAGGGAGCCACTGGCAGGGAAGCCGCATACACACCACACGGTAGTGACAAACGGAGATAAACCCCATCAGACTTCCTCCGCCGCTGCTCCAGTGCGCCAATACATTTCAGCTGATGTGCAAATACTGTGCATGCTCTGCAGGGCTAAAAGCTAGTCAGTGGCTGTTAATGACACTGGTTTATCTCGGGATTAGATGCTCAGCAAATGTTATTACTTTTTTTGTTAACCCAGGATACACTAGCGGTTTGAAATTTGGAAATAATGTGTACTCAAGATAATGAATTTGAGACATGTTACAAGTGAAGGCAATCAAATGCAAAGAATGAAAGGCCTCATTTGTGTCAGCTTGCGTCACTTCATACATCAACTTCATTAAGTCGTTTGAATCATTTGGATTATGAAAACAAACTGCTACAAAAACATAGACGATTAGTGCAAAGCTTACACAGGTGTACATCTGATGAACCCAAAGCACTGCGAAAAATACCGATACTGTTGTTGGCTAAAATAGATAGAACATTTTTAAATGCATGGCAGCATTTAATCATGAAAGCTTTTTTTTGCATTTCTTTTTAACAATGCTTGTGGTGTGGCTTTAAGGATGTTACATTTAGTTATGTCCAGGACAGCCAGTTATACCTTGGATGGAGATGATATAGAGTGCTATTTAATTTTTTCAAGTCAAGTCAATTGTGTTTCTATAGCCAAATTACCCAGATTTGGCTTAAAAGTCTTTACGATCTGTTGACAATATGATACTCTGTTTTTGGACTTGTGATTGGGATACGGAAAAAATCCCCCTAAAAAATAACAAACATAGATGAGAGTAACAGCTACGTCACTTCCGGTCGAAAATTACAGCCCCGCCCTCTTTTGGGGGAAAACAACACTGTCATTTGAATGGTGGTCAATACAAATTCTGAAGTTTTTGCCAATCCGATCAGAAATGTAAGAAAACCGTGGATTTTTGGATCTTCAAAGAGCCCGATTACGATGGCCAGTCAGGCAAACAATTACATTAAATCATTTGAAATCAACAATCGGGCTCGATATATGGTTAAATTAAAATCAGTAGGCGAGGCTGTAATTTTCGCCGGCTGTTACTCTCATGAGCGAGGCGGAAAATAATAGTTTTATCATGCCAAAAAGCTGCTGTGTCGTTTATTGCACCTCCAACATTAAAACAAATCCAGAGTTCAGTGTTTCTGTACTTCCTCTAAGAAAAGCTTCAGGCTTGATTGCCATTCAAATGACAGCGTTGGTTTCCCCCAAAAGTGGGCGGGCTGTAAAGTGACGTAGATGTTACTCTCATCTATGGACATCGATCGCCTACTGCGATATTTAACCATATATCGAGCCCGATCTTCGATTTCCAATAATTGAATGTAATTGTTTGCCTGTCTGGCCATTGTAATCGGGCTTTTTGAAGATCCAAACATCCACGTTTTTTTTAAATTTCTGATCGGATTGGCAAAAACTTCAGAATTTGTATTGACCGCCATTCAAATGACAGCTTTGTTGTCCCCCAAAAGTGGGCGGAGCCGTACTTTTTCCCCGGAAGTGACGCATGTGTTACTCTCATGTGTTGAATGATTTGCCATGACAATTGATACTAATATGCAGTTTGGGCCCAGAAGATGAATCTTATGTGTGAATACCTTCAGCTGCAGGCTAGTTTTTGTAAGTCCTAGACTAGCAAAGGTTCGCTAGATAGCTTGAAGCCTGTACTTGATGCTATCACATATTGTCATATATTTCTGTCTGTTTGAAATTTCCTTTTACAAATTATAATCAAACAAAAGAACATGTCCTTTAATGTTATAAAACATCTTAGTCTTATCCAGGAATGAAAAGTCAAGTACAAGTTAACCTCCAAGAAAATAACCACGGCTTTTCAGACTCTGAAGCACTATTTCAAATGCATTTGTCCCATCTTCAAGAACATCTTTTGAACATCACTATGTGGTCTTTCATCTGCAGGCTCCAGATACAAACAAAAATATCAACAGTCGGCATCAGTGTGCTAATGTAGCGCTGAGCAGGGGAAGTCTCAGGATATTAAGCTCTATTGATTTTTTTTCTCCCCCGCTTTCTCACTAGACTTCTTTTAGAAATCCGCCTTAATACTGACTGCTTACCATACTTACCATACTTTTTATACAGCAGATCAAAGGGCTGATTAACTCTTTTGCTCTTACTTGAGCAGGTTGTTCCAACACAAGAGAGCACAGGCCCAGATCAAACACTGCTCCACTGGGATCAGGAGCTGTGCTGAAGCACCAGCAGCCACCCAACATCAAACACCATGAGTAGACTCACGCACTCTCACTCTCTGTGCTAGAGGGTTGCCAAGGGGATGTGTGTGTATTTCAGATTCACCTGAGAGTTTGACATGTTACCCTCAAAAAGTCATTTAATTACAGTTCATTTAAAGAAGCCTAGTACTAGCTGATGATTAGCTTGAAGGCCCAGGCATACAAACCCAGTAGCTGCTTGTCTGTTTTTGAGTGAGAATATTTACTTTAAAGGTATAGTTGCACATAAGCTCAATCGCTTTCTTGCCAAGAGTTAGGGAAATAGATTCCACTCTCAAGTCTTTACTTATTGACCAAAGCTAGGGCAAACCTGCTCTAAGACTATTATATGAGTGGAAGGAGGGAAAAACAGCTTGTGTAGACCTAACTCAAAACATCTAGTTGTTTTATTCATACACAAAGTGCACAGAGGTGCTGGGCAAACAGACAAACAATGTCCAAGTCCCACAAAGTGATAATAAGTGAGCTTTAGAGTTACTTTTAGCCTGAATGTTTGGAGAGAACCAGAGTTAGCCGTCTCTCTCTGCGTCCAGTGTTTAGCTAAGCTAATAAACCCTCGACTTTAGCGTTAGCTTCTTACCTAAAGCACAGACATTTCATCTAAATCTCAGAGATTAAGCACTTTTCTGGAAACCTCCAAACTATAACTGAAAGTCAAGGAACTTTATTTCCACAGTAACTGCTGCAGTAGTTCTTTAATATATATAGTCAGTTTATTTATTCCCAGTTTAGAGAAATGATCCATAACCGTTTTCCCTCTTCAGTTTTCTGTTCTCTTTGAAAGAACTAGCCTATTTCCCTCTACCTCTCTTATGTCTTCCCCACCTGCTTTCACTCCCCAGAGGTTTCTGATTGTATGCCTTTTCTATATTTTTATTCACAGCTGTGCCTCTCAGTGCATCGTAGTAACTTGCCGGCGGTGTCTGTCTCCAGAGATCCTTCATAGGATTCTTCAGCAGCCCCTAAAGACTTGTTTCATAGGTGGGCTTTTAGATCACTGCCAGCTTTATATTTGAGTAAGTGGCAGTTCAATCTGTCATTGCATTTTAAATCAAATAAAACAAAAAAAATTCAATATCAGAGCCGTGACATTTCTTATCATATGCGTGGCATTCTCCTCATTGTAGTCTGTGTAATGATGGAGCCATACAGTGCCAAGTGCATTTATTAAAGGAGCCATAGGAACTTTACACATGCCTTTTTTTCCGTGCCGTGGCTCAGCAGTTGCCATTTCACATTCAACGTGCGTCGCATCCTTGCTGCCGACGGCTGTGGCAGGATGATGCCTGAGGTGCCTCCGAGGAGGACCGTGCCCTCGTTACTCCTCAACTTGACTTTGGGTTTCACAAAGCGAGCCCTTTGTTTACGCTGACAGGATGCGCTGGCTACTGACCTGGAAAAAGTGGCCAAGACGGCTTGTCTTGTAAAGAAAAGAGGGAGGCTGGTGATGTATTGGCTCCTTCTGGGACCTTTCTTGGAACTGCTGTTAGAGACGCCCCGCAATCCCTCTCTCCCCTCATCTTCTGCTCTTTCTCTCTGTCTCATCCCACTATCTATCTCTGTTCCCCACTCTAGTCTCCGCTCTCATCCCAGCTAGTCACTGGTGGGTTTTCATGAATCTCCCCGTGCCATGTTTCCCCCACCCAGTCACCAGGGTCATCCATCATTATTGTCAGGGGGGGTAATGTGTGTGGGTGGGTGCAGAGATCTATGACTTCTTCATTTGAATGAACCTCATTAGATTGACTCCTCTTTGTAAAGGATCCCTTTAGAAAATAACCCTGGCAGTTATTTAGGCGATTCTCACATGATAGCCAATGGAACATGACGCTTCAGCCCAGCATATTTGCCGGGACGATGGAAGAGGTTATGTTTTGCTTTATCATTCTGCCCTGCATACCTACATTTACATAGCAATGTGCTGTTGGACCTTGAGCTTGAATTGTGGTGCCTACATGCTGTCAACATGATGCAATCCTTTCCTTTTCACTGACTCCACTGATCATTTACATCCATAAATGAGTCCATTGTACAAGGCTGAACAGTTTAGGATTTTTACTTATTAGTCATACACATGAAATGGCTTTAAATCCTCTGTAAGGTTTTCTTAGAAGACTTTTCTCATTACAGTAAATAATAGAAATAATCCACACAGGGAGTAGAGCAACACAACTATTTAAGGTGCATGTGCAGTGTTCTTAATTTACCTCTGTGTTGCTTAAGGTTGGCTTTAACACAAATACATTCATAATAATCCGGCTGTTTCCCACAAAAGAACATTGAAGTTTGGTTTCCTTATTAGAGCAGATCCTTCTCCGGGTATCTTTAATCAGCCTGGTCCCGAGGGATGATATTTTTAGTCGTCTTTTTGGAGGCTAAGACTTCTTTACCCACGCAGAGCACTAATGAGATGGGGCGCTAGTGTAGGCAAGCGTTAATTAAGGCTAGTATGCAAGGGAAGAGGCAAAAGCAACACGCTCATGGCACACATACATTAACTTTATCCCACCTCCTGCATGTTTTCTTCTCTCCTTTTTTTTCACGTAGGTTGCACAAACAACAGATGGCTCTGACGCCGACCTGTGGAAGGACGGCTTATTCAAATCCAAGGTCACTCGCTACCTTTGTTTCACCAGAAAGACTGTAAGTGTAACTATAAACTTCTCCCTTTCGCTGTGCATTCAGCACCAACACATCGCCTGCAGCAGCTTTTCTGTTTGCCAGCAGTTATCAGCCCTGCTTTCTACCGCCTGAATATCTAAGTACACTTTGCACTTTGATCAGTGCTTTTAAAAAGGCCAGCGTTGGCAGTGCCGTTTTGAACTTTTAAATATAATGGATTTGCATGCATATTCCAGATGAATAATATCTCTGTGAGATATTTTCCATGTTGTGTGTCCTCCTGAGGATATTATTTATGTATATTCATGAAATAACAATGAGCTGGGTTTTTTTTAACTATTCCAATTTATTCTATCAACCTTGTCCCTGTAGAGATAATGCTAACCACCAATCAGTGATTCCTGAAAGCTGAGCCACATATAATTGTGAATACACTCTTTATTTACGTAAGACATTCCACCACAAAAAGCACTTATAGCAGTGCTTTATATAGAGCATCCTTTACTTCTCTGTGTCTGATTTGATCTTTGAATGTTACTCATAATACTGTTGGGTCAATTGTGTTGGACTGCCTACAATTGTGTTGGACTGCCTACAACCTCAGTTGTTTCCCCGACTCAGACTGCAAGGAATCTGGGTGTGACCCTAGATAACAACCTGTCCTTCACTGCAAACATCGCTGCTACAACCCGTTGCTGCAGATACACGCTTTACAACATCAGGAAGATACGTCCCCAGCTGACACAGAAAGCGACTCAGGTTCTGGTCCAGGCTCTCGTCATCTCACGCCTAGACTACTGCAACTCCCTCCTGGCTGGTCTACCTGCATGTGCCATCCGACCTCTGCAGCTCATCCAGAATGCAGCGGCTCGTCTGGTCTTCAACCTTCCTAAATTCTCCCACACCACGCCGCTCCTCCGCTCCCTTCACTGGCTTCCGGTAACTGCTAGAATCCACTTCAAGACACTGGTACTTGCTTACCATGCTGCGAATGGATCTGGCCCTTCGTACATCCAGGACATGGTTAAACCGTACACCCCAGCGCGTGCACTTCGCTCTGCATCAGCCAAACGACTCGTTGCGCCCTCGCTGCGAGGGGGACCCAAGTTCCCATCGGCGAAAACACGTGGGTTTGCTGTCCTGGCTCCAAGATGGTGGAATGAGCTCCCCATTGACATCAGGACGGCAGATAGCTTGCACATCTTCCGGCGCAAACTGAAAACTCATCTCTTTCGACTCCACTTCGAGCGTTAGAACGATTAACGAAGCACTTTTATACTAATAAAGGACTGGCTTACCTAAAGCCAGTTGAGTAGCACTTGAAATGTTTGGCTCTATGAAACCTGATGTACTTTTATGATTCTGTTTTCTTCAAGGTTGTGTCTTCCTGGTCGAATGTACTTATTGTAAGTCGCTTTGGATAAAAGCGTCAGCTAAATGCAATGTAATGTAATGTAATGTAATGTGTTGTTGCCTGGCTGTCAGCTGCTCCTTGCCATAAATACACCTTCCTGTCTCGCTCATACAGCTTACTATTGGCTGTCTATTATTTTCCATGGGCTGCAGGAAGATAATGCAGACGGTGTAAACAAAACCTGCATTTTTGTTATCATGCTGCACATTTAAATTTTAGGACTTAATCAAGTCTTTTTTTTTCTTATAGGATGTCCTCTAAATGCCAGGTATCTTGGCAGCGGCTGCCTCGTCCCTGAGTTCAATCTGGTCTTCAGTTTAGTATACAGCATACAAATAGCCTTCCCCTAGTTCCTGTGTATTATCTTAAAATGTGTGTCCACATTGTTTTAGGGACTTTGACACAAATAAAACATGACAGAGCCATCAACAAAGGCTATTTTGCCTGCCACTCACTGGAGCTCCCACTGTAATTGTCTATGACAAAAACAGATTCTGTAAAATTAGCCTCTGAATTATGGGGGGGGAAAGTAAATAGTTTGTGATTTATCATACTCTAGGTTGGAGGTGGAAATCCTCTTTTGTCAGGCCCTGATGGAAGAAATCTCTCCAGTAAAAGGAAAACACAAGAAAAAAAAGCTTCCATGCATAGTAATAACATTCATCCATATTCCTCCTTAAGTCAGTATACAAACTATGAATACAAAATGTCTAATGGTAATGACTGTCGGGCAACAGTAGTAGTGAAATCCAGCCTTTTCGGACGCATCAAGTCACGCCTGGCTCGCCCCACTCTCTACTGCCGCTGTGTATTATTGCAATTTATTATGGCAAAAAATGAAAATGTAATGGGAGGCAGGGAAGAGTCATGCTTGAAAATGTCAACTACACAGTCCCTGATTGTTTTTAACCAGTCCCATTCTGTTGATTAGACTGCCTCCTCTGTCTCCCATCATCCCACAGCTTCTCGCCAAAAGGTTGAGAATGATTACAAGTTCACAGATGCATTCTCTCATTGCAAAAAGAAATAGCTATTAGAGAGTAATTACTTCAGCTATTTTGTCAACCCTTCTCTTTAGAGACTTCTCGAGCTTTTAGTAAATCATTGACTCTATTATCTCTACATTTTCTCCCCCAAAAAAATGACTAACCTTTTATTTTTCAAGCTCTCTGTCCTTTTAGGAGTTGGATTTGCATACATGACTTTAAATGTCCTGCCTGCGCTCTGTGTTTTAGGGGGCTGACGTTGTTGTGGACATGCAGCTGATTGACATTAAGGACGCGTTGCCAGAGGGCTTCACACCTGTGGAAGAAACATTGGACACAAGTAAGTAAACAGTCAATACCGGCCGCAGACCAGCTCCCCTCCTCTTGTTTTTTCACTCTCCGACCAGCTTATGCGGAGGTCCTCGGGGGCAGCTTTGCTTGAGATAGTGAATGTTTTATGGGTGCAGGTTAGCTTAATTTATGGCAGACTGTGGGAATAAAATAAACATTTTGCCCTGGAGGTACAAGAGAAGAGAATCATGAGTCATTGTTTATCTCAGCTGGAGCTGTGCTTTTCTTTATGAGGGGCTTATTTATTTATGTATTTATTTGGGGAAAGGACGAGTGGATGGGGGTTATCTAATATTAATGAAATGCATTCCCCAATGCTTTAGTGCTTTTTGAGTGCTATGTATTTCCCCCTCACTATCCATGCCTTGGAAATGTAATAATATTTTGGTGTGGGGAGTGAGGACAGCTTGTTTATTATTTTTATTATCATTGCATTTACACTGCACTTTCTATTGTTGCAGGGGAAATAAATGAGCCAGGCACGGATGCAATATAGGAAAGCATGGCAATGTTTTTTTGCCAGAATGAAGAAAAGAGATTATGTTTTGTTTGGCTGCGGTGTAATTTAATGTTTTATTACTTTATGTGAATCCATGTTTAATGTATACATGTGACATTATGTATGAGGTTCTATCTAGAATATCCTGTTTAAATCCCTGTTGTGCACTAAAGCTGATGGAGGATTCACTTGCCTCTGTCATTTTACCTACTAAAATGATACAAATTATAATAACACATGTGGATATTGTGGCTTTCTGCTGTCCAGTTATTTCCCTTTAAGCACAGCAAGTCACCCAGGAGCTGATATTAGCTCATCTCTTATTCTAAGACTGATAATGACTAAATAGCAAAGCACAAGTGGGGGATGTGAATATATCTATATTTCTCCTTAAGGTTAAAAATGTGTAGAGCTTTGTTTCTTTCAGCATGAAACTAATACATGATTACGCAACCGGCAATTCCTGTCTGACACCCTCATGTGTACCTGACTCATCAGAGGAAACTGCCATGAGGAAGAGGAGGCTCTGCGTGAAAATCATCCCTCGTGCGGCTGCTGTGACGGCTGTGTATGACATCCAGATCGTTGCCAAGTCCAAGTACCATCTTGTTAACTACACCAGTATAGGGTGAGCTGTTTGGCACTGGATATAAATACATTCATGATGTTTTGTATCTTCTTGAAGGATTACTAGCTGTTTAAAAGTCAAACACTATCAGCATGTCTCTTCTTCATCTTTACACAGTGAGATCAACAGTATGTTGATATGGTACCGAATGGGTGACGCTCCTCAGCATCAGTCGTCCCAGGAAACGTCCAGTGAAGTTGACAGTGCCGCTCCAGCCAACACAGTAAGGTAACATCAGGCCACTTTATTCTACACTGCCTCTTGAAGTTCAACTTTCCTCCTTCATTACTCTCTTTTTTATTTCACGCCCGGTGTTGTTACGCTTCTGTACCACGTGTACGACAATGAAGACACAAGTCATTGATCACTGCCGGGCAATCTGCCGTAAAAGGTTGTGGCTGGACAACGAGGTAGCGGGGGTGAACAGGAGAGACAGGCAAACTAGACAGGAACCCCTGAACAAGAACACGAGTTCAATGAGGGCTAAACTCCTGCTATTTGCGGGTCGTCCCGGGAGGCGGAGGCAGGTCGCTCCTCTGACTGCGGTGACAGGAGTGTTGCTGTGTGCAGAGAGGAGGAGATGTAGCCCGGAGAGCGAGCGACAGCTGCGGAGGAAGGGAGGAGAGCTCCAAGATCTCCGCCATGCTGGAGCGCGTGCGTCCCCTTCCCCTGCTTATGCTGCTCAGGCTTCCTCCGCCTCAGGCCTCACAGTGAACGCAGCAACCTCTTTGTACTGTGTCCAGATCAAACAGCTTAATTATTCATCGCTATGAAGAGCTGGGGATTTCCACAGCAAATTGTAAATAAACAATCGAGACTCCTTCGGCGTGGCGGCGCTGCGGAGAGCGGGGCTTTGGCACGGGGCGCTGATGGGTTTGCCAGCTTGAAGTGCGATGCTTTGCCATCCTGTGCTGGGCTGAGTAAAAGCCACTTAAAAGCCACAACAGGCCGGAGCGGTGCTTGCCAGCAGGCGTATTCAACACAGAGCTTCTGTTCACACGGCCACTCAGCGGGATGAGATCATTCAAATGGACAGCCGTGAATTCAGAACCAAAAGTTCAAACCGAGCAGAGTTGTGTGAACCGTCCATATTTGGGAAATTGATGGTCAATAATCTTTGATGTGTCGAAGCGATGGTGAGCGCTCAGGCCCATGTGTACGCCTTAGTGACTCTTACCGGTAATCCTCCGTTCTTTTGAAGCCCACTTTCAAGTTGGCGAGGCTCAGAGGTTGGAATAAATTGCACCTCGAAGCGACTCACACCCCCTCCTGATGCCTGCTGAGATCACAGGCGGCTGTTTTTGTATTAACATTAAAATTCATTCCACAGTCAGAGAGTCTTCTTTTGAGAGTATTTCCATCACATAAGGACGGGACTGTGGGCAATTTAGACAGTGCCAGTTCTTTGACTATTTATCTGGCATCCTCTCTGTGTAGTTACATGCACTTTAGACAACCATACACACAGATATAAATATTTCTGTAGTTTCTTTGAAGTCATAGATTAGATAGTTTGACACAGTGATTTATAAGCAGCTCCGTAACACTCCCTGATTGCTCAAGTAAGTACAGTAGGGTAACTGTGTGTGTAGTATCACACCACTATACTTTATTCATATTCAGCAAGAGAAAATTCTCTCCTCCATGCCTCCTTCAGGCTATCTATAACAACTTTATGGCCTTTGGAGAATAGCACCTCTTAAATTTAACTGCTCTTTACAGTCAGTGGAAAATATGTTTTAAATACAGTCAATAATGTGTAAGTTTTTAATGACCCTTATGATTTTGAAAGCTGCAGTGATCCCTCTCAAATGTTACACCGCCTCAGGCAGCGAGAGCTTGTTAGAGTTGTGTACAAACGTTCACCGCAAATCAGCTTTTTTCAGGAGTGCAGAGCTGCAGAACACAGCACACTGCAGGCTGTTGCATCATTATGGGATGCACGGAGTCATTGCATCAAGGCTAAGGTGTTGTATTTGAATTGTTTTTGTATTGTTTTGTCAGCTGGAAAGAGGATCCCTGTAGCTCTTGGAAAGTTTAAAAAAAAATGAACTTTTTTCCCAAAAAGGCCTCAGTTAGTATAAGATAAAGAGTCAGGGATTTGATTTACAGAAATATATTCTTGTTCTGTATCACCTATAAAGTAATAAGTAGGATTGTGGCAACAACCTAAAGCGACTATTATCACTACAGCTAGCTACAGAACTTAAGAAGTTCTAATGTTGATTTTAGCAAACATTTAAATGTACTTAAAGAACTATGCCTGCAACTGATAATCTATTTCCCTTTAGATTATTTCTATTATTTGTAAGTAAAACACGCCCATGTGAAAAGACACAGCTCAAGGTGATATCATCAATTTGCCTTTTTGGTCCATCTAACAATCAAATACTTAAAGGATACATCAGATAATTGTATTGATTATGTGATGTCGTCTCCTAAAATGCACATAAATCAGATCTTGCTCCACTCAACATAGCCGACAACAGACTATGCAGATTTGTTCTTGGTTGTCCTTTTCGTTCACATCACTGCACAATGTATAACCAACTTAAATGGCCTTCTTTAAATGTAAGAAGACACATGCATTGGCTTCAGCTGATATTTAAATGCATTTATCTTAACTATTATTTAAAGCAGTATTTCGTACCCTACTCGTCAAATCATCAAGTTAGACATTCTGTTCAGATTTATTTCTCTGTCCCCTCTGCAAAAAAATGGATTGGCAGAAGAGCGTTCATGTTCAAAGCCCCAACTGACTGGAATACTTTACCTGCTGCTATTAGATCTCTTGCATCATTGGGTTTAAACATGCATTGTTATCTCACTTTCAACTGGTCTGTACTTGTTATTAACTGATATTGATGAAACTGATTTGCTCGAACTGTCTCAAATTGTAATGATTGTATGCATTGCTTGAACTTTACTTAACAGACTGTATGTGGTTTGTCTTGTGTGTCATGTTTTGCATTTTGTCTTTTTGTTTATGTATGTCTGTAAGTTGTTGCTATTGTCGGGACCCCTTGAAAACTAGATGGTGCATCTCAAGGGGTTTATCCCAATGAATACAAAATGTCTATATATATATATATATATATATATATATATATATATATATATAACCAGCAATGTTATGAATGTTTTTTTTATAGAGACGAAAGTGAACATTGAAAACTGATTGATTAATTATTTTTAATTGGCTATCCATCTGTCCATTCATCTATCCATTGCCAGCGTTTTTGCTTGATCCCATTAATTGAATTGATTCAATCATAAAGTGATTACTGTTATATACTGCTGGGAAGTACTAAAAAAATAATATTGATATAATAATAAAGAATTCTTGACCCTATCGGCCCCACTGGTTTTCCATCATACTTTTATGCTTTGGCTGGTATCGATGTGAAAAGGGTTATAGACCTAATGCTGTGTGTTATTAGAGGAGTCTGAGGACGTTTCTAATTCTAATTGCTAGACCCTGCAACCTTGCAAAAAGAATCGGAGGAATTAAAAAAGGAATTGTTTTATCAAGTGGGATCGAGGATAAAAGCTAAACCTACAATACTTATTTCTTATTGGCTCTGGCTGTCTCACCATATTGAACCACTAAAGCTGGTACAGGCCTGTTATACAAGCTGCTGCTGCTGCTGCATTTGAACCTTGTGTGTTTAATGTCCCTTTATCAAATTTGTTGAAAGCGCCTCACCCAGCGAGTGCGTTCTGTTTTGATTCATAGCTGCAGCTTGATGTCAACCACTTTGGCTTGTTCTCTGTCAAGACGGAGCATATCAACCGACTTTATAATGTGGGAAACCTGCGCCATCCGGTCAGCCTTTTAATGTGTCCAGTAAAGTATCCCCCTCCTTCCTTCTCCTGGCCAACGCTGCCATTTGTTCTCCTGATAAAACTGTCATTGCTGAGGCTGATATCTGACCTCTACAGTGACTGCTAGCATAAATTAGCCTCGTTCTAATATTGCAATTCCTTTAGCTTCACTCAGAATCAAGGTTTTTGACATTTCTCTTAGAATAATAGGCTATTGTACACACGGACACTTTTTAAATCAAACTGTACAGCGATAAAAATGTCAAGGCTGAGTATCTCTTTTTTTTATCATTTCACACTAGAGTTGGCTTTTCCTTGAAGCCTAGAGAGTCATCAGTGTCAGAATTGGCATGCATATCAATATGTTTCAGATAGCGCTGTCTTTTACCTGTGACACTCTGCAGGAGTATTGTATCAGCTTTCATTGCTTGCTGGTTAACCAAGACTTCCCACCGCACGCGACTGTTGCCGAGACAGAGACACCGCGACTGTCAGTGTGCGCCTGACACATCTCAGAAGTGTTGAAGAACAATCACTCCCCCTTCAATCTTACTCATTACTTTCTTGTGTTCGGAAAAAGTTTCAGAAAAAGTAGCGTAGATCAAGCAAACGGACGTGGACGCGGTGCCAAGAATGATCGAATGATCAGCTGAGATCTGATGGGCGATGTGCAGTGATTTGCCACCAGATTCAGAGACATCCTCTTTTCAACAGCTGACACAGAGCTTAAAGGAGGATAATGATGGGTGAGAAAGCAGCTCCCACAAAGCAGCACTGTCGGCACATAGAGGAAGGTGTGGAGATGTTGTCACGGGAAACGCTGGATGTGTGTCAAAACAAGAGCTCCCAGCTTTCTGTATCGCTGTGCCGATATTACTCTCATCCTCATCTTACCTCTCCGCTGACTACCGCTCGTCTGTCCCCACCGACTCTCCCACTTTTTTCCCACAACGGAGACAACTCTTTTCCTTATCCCGCACGGAACAACTTAAAGAACAAAATAATCTGTTGAACTGTAATTCGTGTTGTCAAGTAATCCTTAGTGTCGTGGTTTGCTTCGCAGAGCTAATATGATTTTAACTGCGGCAGATTTCATGGGAACATAAGACTCTTGATCTGCTTCGTAATTGTGTAAATCTTTCAGGCCGTGTTCCCAGTTTTACTCTAATTTGATGAGGAACTACTCTATAATTGAATATTCAAATTAGGAATATGTGTCAATATGGCTCTCCTTGCCTGAAATGAGGATTAATTGTTGTCAAAACTCCAGTGGCTGACATAATAGGAGCGCCGACACTGCTGTTGATTAGCAAATGCACTTGCCATGTTTTTGTTTTAAGAATTAGATGTCTAATTGATTTGCCATATGTTACCCTCTCCAATGCACCTAAAATTGTATTTAGAAATCACCAATTTGGATTGAGACAGTTTTGTGTTTCAAACAGATGGGAAAAGAAACCCTAGAGATTGCCTGTAGAAAATCATTTCATGAGCACAATTCCCTGGTTTTACATCAAGTCTTTGGGGCTTTAAGTACCACTTTGTGGTTCTCAGATGCATAGATCAATCGGCAGACTTATTCTTTCTCTGTTCTCTTTGTTTATTCTGCGTACTAATTTAACAAAACAGACCAAAAGGACATTTAAACCCCCCCCCCCACACACACACACACACACACACACACACACACACACACACACACACACACACACACACACACACACACACACACACACACACACACACACACACACACTGTATCAGTCCTTGGGATGTCTTTGTGCTTTGAAAGATGCGTACCTTTCTTCCTGAGCAGTGGAATCAACCTTTTGAAAGGTAAAAGAAGTCTGCGTTGAATATGGCAATCGTTCCCACAAGATTGATGCCAACCTTTTTAAAAATTCACCATTGGCCTGGATTTAACATGGCCAAATGCTGATGTAAATGAGGAGGGGAAAAGTCGACCCTTTCATTGCAAATAAATCTGAGTTGCAGGCTTCAGCTCATAAATACCACTGCCTGTCAGAAGTCTTGTTTTATTGCTCTTGATGGAAATGATTGCATTTATTTATCTCATGCGAAGAGATAAGGCCACACAACTCATGCACAACACTCGTGGAATATGCAGATCTGTCTTTTAGTCCTAAATTTCAAAAATGGTACACCCCCCTGTAAGACTTATTATGTTTTCCATAAACAGACCAAATACAGAACATGATACAGTACACAAAACACGGCTCATTATTCCTAACTCCACACCTGCTCACTCCCAGAATCTGTTGTGTCTTCTCATAATTCAACATCGTTTTATTCTTCTTGTCTAGCTTGTTCTTTTTCTTCAACAACAATCCCGTACGCCTGCGTGTCCTCTAATCAAAGCAATTCCCATTTTTAATGATATTGCCAACTACTTTGCATTATCATTATAAGATCATTTGTTTTATAATGCCATCCCAGAGCTCATTTTTACCTCCAGAGCATGTCATGTTATGCAGCTCCCTCCAAGCTGTGAATAATTTTTTTTTTTTCCTGCTTGCTGTGGATTTATCGATCCGTAGGGGTGAGTCACAGGGTGTAATTCATGATAGCTTGATTGATGAGGATTTCAATCTTATATGGTTTGTTAACTTCAACTGCCCACAAAGTGCATTCTGTGCTGTTTTCTGTAATACAAGGCCATGAAACGTAAAAAAAAGAAAAGCAGACTTCCCTTGAATAATGGAATCGCTCAGTTCCTCCAGAATGTACAAGATCCTGCTCCATTCCCCCCCGCTAACGGTCTGTTCAAGCCCCTGGGCAGCTGAGGCACGCTTTAACTTTTACCATATTTCTCCTCTTTAGATTCATCCTGGTATTTCAGTGCTCTGTTTTGATTTGAGATAAAAAAGCCTTAGTGTAAGGAGGCAGTTCAAGGCTTCCATACTAAATACATTCTATTCTAATGTATGGGCAATATGTCTGGGAACATAATAATGCTCATTAAATAGAAACTTGACATGGCGCCTTTCATGTTTTACCATAATGTCTGGGAAAATAATGTTGATCTGTTTATTGAAACAGTGTTGTTTTCTTTCTGGGCACAGGAAGACCCCGACCCGGCAGGACTCTGAGCCCCAGAGCAGTGGGAACTACACCATGACTGGTAAATACTTCACACTCGAAATGTATCCAAGTCAGCACTATTTAGTCTTGTATTTAGAATTGTATATTATTTAGGTTTATTTTTCATGAAGTTTAAAAATGACATCACGTTCCAGGGTAACAAAAGCCTTTTGTGACAGCGATGTTATATTTAATAACATTAAAAAGAAAGTCAAAATGATTGCTTAAAAACCGCCAAATAAAAACTAGCAGACGTCACTTTTTGTCTGTTCAAGTTGACCACAAATAGGTTGAGATGATATTTAGACTTTTATGACTAGTCCACCAGGTTTAAGAAAAAGTACTTCTTTAGTGCGAGCTTGTTAAAAGCTGACGGCAGGGTCAACTTGTTCAGCCTATAAAAACATGGGTTGTTAGAATGCTTACTTTTGGCCATTGTACCGCAAGAAAATGCTTTGTTTTTTATTAAAAAAAACAACTCTTGGGCTTTCTATCTCCACTGAATAGCATCACCATGTGGACATAAAGGCGGCTCCTCTGGTGCTTTATCTACAAATGCTTTATGTCTAGATCTCCTCACTGATGGATACTGTACAGAGCTTTGCTTATCTGAGCGAACGTGACTTCCCAAAGGAGCTCGGCATTACACTCGAGAACATTTAACAGATGTCAAAGATGATCCATCACATGTCATACTTACATATGTACCGTGCATTGCACTGGACGAATTTCCTTCTCTTTGTCAAGGAGAGAAACTCTACTAAAGCACAATGCTGCAGGACTAAGACAGAAGAGAGGCTAATTCGTTAGGAAGCAGAGATTTAACCACGGCCGCCTCAGAGTCACGGAGTCAGAGCCGGCTGAGACGCTCTCGCCCTAAAAGAGCGTGTGATTCGCATGAGGAGAACGAGGCAGGCAGCTTTTTATCCAGCTGGAGAGAGACACCATGTGGTGAAGATTCCTCCTGCTGCTCAGGCAGAGGCACACCCAGGCTATGGCCATGTTACACCCTACCTTATTAACACAAGCCTAAGTATTAAACAATAGCTGAAGTGCACATGATTTAAAATGCTAAATAAACGTTTTTTTTTTAAGTATAAAAATATATAAGAATTTTAAAATTACTTATTAAAATCGAATATTTTTTTCTCTCCTTTTTTGTTCTGTATGCCCCCATCCCAAAAAATGTGTTAAAAAAATTATTAATACATCATTTTGTTTCTGTGACAGTCATATTATAAGTTAGTCAAGACAAGTGTGCAAAGTGTGGCCCTGAAGGAGCACACATTAACACACAGCTGAGTGCTTCGTGGCATCGGGTGTGCGATACATCCACAGGGACGTTGTTTGAGTGACAGTGAAGAACATGCACATACTGTACAGTGCGTTGCCAGCAGTCATCATTTACCTCCGGAAAACTGTCCTTTGCAGCTGCCTCCTTCTACCTTCATGTGTCCCTGCGTGATTTGAAAGAAGAGTGGATAATGGAGTTAGCCCGAGATGCTTCTTGGCTTTAATTTCTTCAGACTGTGTACTCGTCAGCCTCACAGCATCACACTGTGCATGTGAGAGAACACAACTTCCCTTCATTAACAATGTGATAGCCTGCGGACCAAGTGTGAGGTCGTAGCCGACAGCCTATGTGTGTTAATTGTTAGCGCTGGTAGCTGTCGTGTGTGTGTGTGTGGTTGGGGGGGTGCGTGGGTGTCTGCGTGTGCACGCGTGTGTGTGGGCTGACAGCTGGCCAGGTTCGAGTTGGTCTAAAACCATGTGCGCTCTGTCAGGGCTGTACAGGCGCCTTCTTTAGGATTGATGAATTGCCTGCTTTCTTGATTAAACCCTCCGTCACTTCCCAACAAAACAAAAACCCAATAGAAAAAAAAGAGAGAGAGTTGAGGGGAGGAGAGGTAACATGTCTGGGAAATCTGTCATCCGCAGTCACATCATGTACAGATGTGATGTGCAGGCGCTTTGACATTTATTACCAGAATATTAAAAACGAATTCACATTTATTTTGCAGCCCTCTTTCACTTGACAGTTCAAGCTCATTTGAAAAGTTATCAAGTTTGCAGAGCCGCTCCAACCTTTTGCTTTTCTCCACCACGTTGCTTTGATCCATGCCAAGTCCCTCAGTGTTATTTATACATTGACAGAAAAACAGGATAGCTTAAAGGTAATTAAACGTGCATCATGGAATGTGTCTAAAAGGCATATGTTGGATATAAATAAATGTGTTGAAAAAATGCAGAAACTCTAAAATAAACCTGTGTGACGCGTTGCATTGCAGTCTCTCGTCATTACCTGCAGAACAACATATATAGTATTCAGCAGACATCCACCTGATAAGAAGGTAAACGTAATAAAAAGTAATACATTTACATATCTATTGCATTAATCAAAAAGAAATCCTGACATTGGCCCTGATCTAATGTAATATGGAGAGCAATTATTTTCATATCCATTAGAGGAACTTCAATTAACAGACACTAGACAGTTCATCCTTCAGAGGGAAGGAGGCGGAGGGAAAAAATAGGAGGCTCAAAATTAACTTGGGTTTGCAAAATATCTTGGCAGGATGACAGTGATTTTTTGATTTTCAGGAAACAATATTAGAATTCTTATTAAACTATGTGCATCTGCTTTTAATTTGCTGCAAATAATTGGAAAATGCAATGGAGCTTTCCAATTAAAGCTCCACTTTATGCTGTTTAATAATACCCTCATAATATTATAGCTTATGAAATGACAGGTGAGTTGGTGTATGAATAAAACATAAAGCCCTGTAATAAGAGACGGGGGGGAAAAAAAACAGGACAGTTGTTGGGGGGCTTTTAAATACTCGACATCATTTGCATATATTAATCTCCTCTTTTCAGCCTTATCAAGTATTCCACTGTATTTGAAGTTAAAATAGTCGTGACAGGCAGGGGTACGCTTCGTTTTTCCAAGGATTTATTACTTGTATAATTCTGGATCTTTAATAAGCCAATATGACTGATCCTCTGAGTTCTGTGGAATTTGGTTAATTGTTCCAGATGGTGCTCACTGATTATGCAAAATTACTTTCTTTCTCCTCTTTTTCCCCCAAACTACACCATTTCTTGATTGACTAACATGGAGAAAAAGATTATTTTTGGCGGCGCACTTTCATTAAGAGGGTTCTCATCAGGTTTCAAACAAAAGTTCCATCTTATCTCTCTGTGTAGTTCTGGGCAAGGCTGTGCAGAGGGAGGCGATCCGCCGGCTCTTATCTCACACCGTGATGGATCTCAACCGCTTCTGCACCGCTGGGGTTATATTTTAGAATAACACAATTCTTTAGGCTGAGGGATTAAAAAACACGACCTCTGAATAGTGACACAAAAGTTATTATTAGTGTACGCCGTTCTCTTCTTTCTCCTTTCTCCTCTCTTTTTCTCCCAGAGATTGATGAAATTACTAAGCAGCGGGGTTGGTCCTTCTCTCGCAGCTCAGGCTCCATCCACAATTCACTAACATTCTGTTTTGCATTAGCTAAACCGAGCTGAATGAATCATTTATGGAAGTGTTATGGGGGAGTATCGGCAGATTTACTGCCGAGCTTTTACTTTAGATGGAATGGGATTTCTATGAAACCGATCTTGATGTCTGAAGTAATGCCAAAGCTTACATCAAGACATGAAAGGAACACTCTTAAAACCCACGTTTTGCTTCTTAATTCCCCTGGTCAGCAAAAGGCTAAACACAGAGGGGGGGGGGATCTGCAGGAGAATAGTATTTACACCTAATGTAAACTCGTATACACACACCAACACAAACAGTTCCTCACACTGTTTACTACTCGACTCAGCTAATGCTGTGAAGGAGGAGTGCTGAATTTCTGTTTGATAATTTGATGGCTTCTACATTTAGATTTAGTTCTGAGCTGCTAATGCATTATCCACATTTAAATAGCAGCTTACATGCCTTCTTTTTTGGCATGAATACTGCAAAACTGAATCAAACAATTGACAAAAAATCAAACCAGATGTGATTGGTCGAAAGAAAGCAAAAAAATACAAAAACAAAAAAGTGAGGAAGGCATTATGGGAGTTTTAGCAGTGTCATAAAGTGACATTTTCTCAGAAATACACAAATGTTCTTATACATTTCTCGACTGAGAAGTTTTTGTCGGATCGAAAACAGAATCAAAACAAGTCTTTTTTGTTGTTAATTTGGAAAAATGTGTTTAAACAAACAAGTTTTTCTAAATTCTAAATTGTCCAGATAAGAAGTTGAATGTAGAAACTATGTTCTGAAGGCAAAACTTAGGAAAACTTCTGAAACATTATTGTCTAATTTATAACTAAAATACCAACCTGTTGTGTGTTATTCATCTTTGTCTTCTCAGTCAAAAAGCACTTTCGGATTTTAACACATTTAACACCCTTACAAGAAAATCCTGTTGGCATTCGCCCCGCCGATATGTCAAAAAACCCGATTAGACTATCCAGGTTATTTTGGAAACATGATCGATCCTAGTGTGACGGTGCCATTAAGTATTTGGGGATAAATCCTGAATGAATCGTAATGGAATTTTTGACTGGAGCCTTGAGGCCTTTAGGCATTTTTGAACCTTTATTACAGTCAAATAAGAGACTTTAAATGAGTGCATTTGCAGGCCGGACTGGACTCTGGAGTCTCATCCCTCATTGCTTTCTATCCATCCCTGAGATAGAAGCAGTGCTCCATTAGTTTCAGTGTCCAGACGTGGACAGCCCCAATGGATGGGCCTGTCACGGCTCCCTCATTTGCCCCATGTACAGCCGGGTTTGTTATCACACATCTAATTAGAACTTGATAAAAAATATTTCACAAAAATCCAGTCATTAAATATAGTTTAAGGAGATTTATGGTCAAATATGCCTTAAAGATCTTTTAATGGCTCTGCTGACTTGTTAAGTTTGTAATTAATGATCTTCTAATAAATACTGTGGTGTGATTTAGAAAGCACAATGAGATTCTGGGAATGAAGTCGTTTTGGAAAAGGGCATCTGGGGCTTTCAGAAGCTATATTAAAT